ACATTTACTAATGTATTATTAACATCCTAGTCCATGCTTGTTACCATTAGTTAATTCAACATGAGTTAACATTAACAATGAACGACTGTATTTTCATTAACTAATGTTAACTAACATAAACAAATACAGTACTAAATGTATTATTTATTGTTTGTTCATGTTTTAAATGCACTAATTAACATTAATTAACGATCATTATTGTAAAGTGTGACCAATTATTGAATGGCACCCCAACTGATTACCATATCTGTTACAGCATCATTCAATAACAAAACCGGTGAACTTTCTACTTAGACATTATGTTTTATTTACTACAATATTTACCAAAGCTAGTGAAAAAAAATAAAAAATAAATCGACACATTGAGGTAAAGTTGGTTTTGTATTCGCACATTCATTCAGTGACAACTTGTGACACGCTCCCTATATTATTTACCATGTTACTTTGAATATTTGACTGAAATCTCATGTAAATATGACTTCACAGTCAATTAAATAGTGTTAATGTTGTTTTGAACAATGAACTACTTTGATAGTCATTGGCTGATAATGAGTTTCCAGTTATGAATTTGCAAAAAATACTTTCTGAAGTTATATTATTAAGGAGAAAGTCAAAATGAGCGAATATAAAACCAACTTCACCTCAATAAAAAAAAAACAGTAAACAAGTTAAACTTCCTGTGATATCAAACTGAAAACCCCTCCTATCCCTGATACCAAATAGCCTAAAAACTTATAGTAAATGATTTGTGCATTTAACTATAATACATATTACAAGGTGTCTAAAGTTATATTCCCATTGAGATAAAGTTGGTTTTATATTTGCACATTCCATCAGTGACAACTTGTGACAAGCTCCCTATTTTATTCACCATGGTATTTTAAAATATTCAGTCTAAAATCGCACGTAAATAATACTTCAAAACAACATTAGCACTACTAAATTGACTGTAAACAATACTGCACTTTGATAGTCATTGGCTGCTAATATGATTTCACCATTTATAATCTGCAAATAACCATTTTCCTAACATTATTAAGGGAAAAGTCGAAATATGTGAATATAAAACCCAACTTAACCTCAATAACCGACACTTAGGTAATCTTATAGAGGTAACGTTGGTTTTATATTGGGATATTCAGACTTTCTCCTTAATAATGAAATTTCAGAAAAGTATTGTTTATAAAATTGTAAATAGGGAAATCATATTAGCAGCAAATGACTATCAAAGTACAGCATTGTTCACAGTGAATTACATAGTGCCAATGTTGTATTGAAGTCATTCTTGCATGCTAATTCACACTCAATATTCAACTTAGCGTGGTAAACGATATATGGGCCAATAAAGGAACGAATGTGTGACTATAAAACCCACTTTACCTCAGTGGTAATGTTAGGTTACTTTAATGTCGAAAACAGAATATTAGCATATAAAGCACCATACTCTAATCTAATTACCTTCAGGGGGGTTCATTGTTCTATTGTTTACAGCAGGCTCACTTTAACAATGATGAACAAATCTGCAGTAACGTTACACTGCTATGCTAACGAACTGTTAGCATAGCCACATTACTGCCTCATAACACCACACGAATCTCAGACTTACCTGAACATTACATTCTTTTCCTTGAAGCGGCTTCACTGTGAGAATCATTTTTACATATATAAAAAATTAAATACTAAATAAGCAATAAATAGTTATCTCGTTGAACATTCGTAAACTAGCAGCCGATGTTTCCCACGGACATGACGTCAATGTCTCGCTACTGCGCATGCGCTGTTGGAGCCTCATCCGTTTATAAACTAAACAAAACCGAGAGTGCAGAAACTTTCGTGAAAATTACAGACGTGTGTTATATATGTAAATATATTAAATTACTGTGTATCTATGAATATATCAGCGTTGAACTTTGCTACCTTTATATGCTTTATTTTATTTTATTTATTTATTTTTATTAGCTTCAAGAAACTGTATAATACAACTTAAAACACAGTAAAGGATAACAGTTCTTTTAAACAATAGTCACATTACATACACAAGATAAAGAGTAAAACCAAAACACAGTACATAAAAAAAGAATAGTAAAAAATATCTCATCTCTCATCATATTTGCTCAAGAAAGAAGCACATTTCTTATATTCAATTAATCTAGGAGATTTAATTAAATGTTCTTTTTCACATAGGAAGTCAATAAAAATTAGATTTTTTTTAAGGAACCTCTGTTTGTGAAAGTAGAATTTCCCAGCAAGTATAAGAAAATTCCCAGTGGCTTCTAACGCCTTGTTTTGGTTTTCAAAATAACAAATAACATCCTTAAGGTACAAATTACCACTCATATTAACCTTGGAAAAACAATATGAACTTAAATCATCCCAAAACAGTGATGATACATTGCAAGAAAAAAGTAAGTGACAAATGTCTTCACAGTCATTCTTACAAAATGTGCAAATATCAGTAACATCACAATATTTAGATAAAAGTGCATTACATGGGTAAATATTGTGCACCTCTTTCGTTGTTTTAGGAATACAGAATTTATATGGTAATAACCATGTTTTCCTCCATTGAATATTAACAATTGGAACCCCAAAAAAAACGTTCCTCTAGGAGTGATTGCGTTATGTGACTGACACTTAACGAATAATCATATTATTGCATTCTTTACTAAGAATAGATTTTCCTCCTAGGTGTAATTGTAACAATTGTTTGGAACATGCCTCATAACAAAGAGCTGCTTTCATCTGACATAGTAATCCACTAGGTATAGCCTTTATAATTGACTTGAATTCCATATAGCAAACAGGGAATTGATACATGTTTATAAAACTCTCATAAGTTAAAAGATCCCCGTTACTGTTAAAAAGATCAGAAACAAAAATAATGTCTTTGTTAAACCATTTATCCCAGAAAAAAGATTTATTATTTATCTTAATGTCCACATTATTCCATAGAATGGTTTTGTGGGGTGAACATATGCTTTATCAAATTTGATATTTTCCCCTCATGATGTAACTGAAGCAAAGGTGAAAAAAATACTTACAGATAATGTCTACTTAGACATTGTTTATGTGTATCAAAAACAGGTTTACCATGATTTGTAAACCCAAAATCGACACATTGGGGTAAAGTTGGTTTTATATTCTCACATTCGAACTTGTGACACGCTCCTATATTGTTTACCAGGGTAACTATATTTGGTCTGAAATAACATGCAAGTAGGCTATGACTTCAGTTCAAAACAACATTAGCACAGTTTTTATTGACTGCGAACAATGTTGTAATTTGATAGCGATTGGCTGGGATTTCACTATTTATAATTAGCAAACAGTACTTTTCTGAAATTATATATTAAGGGTGTATGGGTGAAAGTTATATCTAAAGCTGAAAACTGTAAAACTTGCCTAAAAAAACGTTCAACTTCAGTGCAATTTCAGAAAGGTGCAAATTCCATACATACACTTTCTCAAGTATTCTAGGCAAGGCAAGTTTATTTATAAAGCACATATCATACAAATGGTAATTCAAAGTGCTTTACATAAACAAGAATTAAAGAAACGAAAATAAAAATCATTAAAATAATTAAAACAGATTAAAATGTGTTAAAACAGGTCATAAAATAATGGAAAAGACATAATAGTGCGAATCGTGCTCATTCAGTAAAGGCACGGCTAAACAGATGTGTTTTCAGTCTTGATTTGAACGTGCCTGATGTTGGAGATCATTTCTGGAAGCTGAATCCAGCAGCGGGGGGTGCAGTAAAGGCGGATTTACTCAACTCTTGGAATTTCAAATTTGACCCTAATGATCTGAGTGATGTTTATTCTCAGTGAGTTATATCATTTATATCTGATATTTACTGAGCATATCTGTAATGTATTGAGCTCCCACACTGTAAAAAAAATGCTTTTCTTACTTAGATTTTTTGTCTTGTTTCTAGTCCAAATATCTACAAATTCTTAAATTAAGAAGCATTTTCATAAATCGAAAAACAAGATTATTTTGCTCACCCCATTGGCATATTATTTTGCTTGATTTGAGGAAAAACTCACATCATTTTGGCATATTTCTTAAAACAAGACAATATGTTTTGCTTGTCTAGAAGTGCTTCTTAATTAAAGAATTTGTAGATATTTGGACTAGAAACAAAGACAAAAAATCAAAGTAAAAAAAGCATTTTTTTGCAGTGTAGGTCATTTAGGGAGTTATAGACAAGTAATACCTTAAAATCTATTCTGAATGTAATTAGGAGCCAGTGTAAAGACTTAAGGACAGGTTTGATGTGCTCTACACCCCTAAATAAAAGTTTATTTATACAAAAAGTAACTTTTATCCTGCCAGTAAATCTATTAAAGGTAAAGAGGAAGTAACTGTTGCATACAGTATGCAGTATAGAAATAGAAACAGGTGAATTGGTAGGCTAAATTGTCCGTAGTTTATGAGTGTGTGTGTGGATGTTTCCCAGAGATGGGTTGCAGCTGGAAGGGCATCCGCTGCGTAAAAACTTGCTGGATAAGTTGGCGGTTCATTCCGCTGTGGCGACCCCGTATTAATAAAAGTACTAAGCCAACAAGAAAATGAATGAATGAATTATAAATCGATAGAATGATCAATGGGAAAGTCCCATTAATTTAGCTGTACCAGTGAGTGTCTGTGTGCTTGTGTGCTGAAAATTATTCATTTGTTTATTTTCCTTCGGCTTAGTCTCTTTCTTCATCAGTGGTCGCTAACTTATCCAGCATGTTTTACACAGCAGATGCCCTTCCAGCTGCAACCCAATACTGGAAAACATCCATACACACTCATACACTTCAGCCCATTAAGTTTAACCAATTCACCTATAGCGCATGTGTTTGGACCAGAGCACCCGGAGGAAACCCACGCCAGCACGGGAGAACATGCAAACTCCATGCAGAAACTGGTCCGGCCTGGACTCGAACCAGCGACCTTCTTGCTGTGAAGCGACAGTGCTAACCATTGTGTTGAAAATTAAAGACACGTATTTAAGATGGAAAAGGTTTATTTAAATGAATTACAAAACATTATACAGTCAGTGATGATAACACACCATAGACAGAAATTAGCTTTTTAAAATGTGGAGTTATTTAAAACAAAATATCAGTGCCTGCTCGAACATTCAGGCTACTGAAACATTACAAACAAATTAAACAAGAGTCATCATGAAAGGTGATCACTTCAAATTTATCACATTATTAATTTTATTTAAGATACATTTTAATACAAAGAGGATTTAATGTGCTAGAAGTGCTTATGTTGTGAAGTCTAAGGCAAGAAATTCAACCCCCCAAAGCTTTTAGAAATTGCTGTCATGATATAAACCAAATATCATGACATATCAGTAATAAACACCATCCCTATGATATACTGAAGAAAATCATACACACCTAAAGAAGTTAACAAGGATATTGATAAGATTGTAATTTGCTCTTCATCCTGTAAGTAAACACTGTAATCGAATTATGGTCTAAACATAAGGCAGCATGTCCTACACCAGAAGTGTCCAGTGTTGGTTCAGGAGTGTTTAATTGGTGTTGAAATAAACTCTGCAGGACGCTGGCCTTGCAGGAGCAGATACTGCTGTCCTAATCCGTGAAGCAGCTTTCAATCCTGCTCCTAGAGGGTAAAAGTGTCCCACAGAGTCTACATCCAATCCACATGTCTGATTAAACACACCTCAACCAGCTAATCAAAGCCTTCGGAAAAACAAGAAGCTCCGGCTGTGACGTTTTCTCTCAAGTAGAAATTGCTACCACTTGAAACACATGAATGTATGAAGTATTAATAACCCTTTCCACATGCAAGTTTTTTTATCATGACCGTTATTTAAAATGCATCGCTTTAATTTTCCCATGGCGACAGGTCTAGTTTATCTAGTTTATCATATTACACACGGCAGTCTTAATGATTTACTTATATATCGTGTTTTCTTTTTTCCCTTTTCCGAAAACATTGACAAACATCCTGATTATATTGTGCAATATCTGATATTTTAATTCTCAAATATGCGTGAGAACATTGTCTTTTAAGCATGAAGTGTTTAGTGTATGCTCCTATCATGTTTAGTCTATGCTGCTGATATCAGAGCTGCTGGATTTACAACATGTTATTTCATAATTTTCTTTAGAAATACATGAAACTAAAATTCACTGGGAGAGAAACAGTATGCATCTTATGTGAATGTCTGAAAGTGAATTATATCGTGCAATACGTGCTTTCTTATGTCAATAAAGCATGTTGTCCAGCTATATTTTGAAAACTATTATTATTGCCGTCTCCATAGGCCTCAGTTTGTATTTTACAAACCATAAATGTTGTTTTGCTAGTATTTATGTGTATTTGAATGTCTGAAAGTGAATTATATTGTGAAATATCTGATATTTCGATTCTCAAATAAGCATAAGAACATGTATTTTGTGTTTTGAACATGTTAAAAATGATCATTTTATTTCATGTATGACTGGTGATGGATGGTGCAATGTTTAATCTACGCAACTGATATCAGAGCTGCTGGATTTACAACATGTTAATTCATCATTTTCTTCCAAAATACATGAAACTGAGATTCACTGGGAGAGAAACAGTATGCATTTTACGTCAATAAAGCACACTAGGTCACTATGTGGTAGTATTTATGTGTATATAAATGTCCAAAAGCAAATTATATTGCGAAATATATAATATTTCAATCCTCAAATAGGCAAAATAACATGTATTTCGTGTTTTAAACATGTTAGAAGGTATAATTTTATTTGATTAGACGAGAATTGACGCCATCATGTTTAATTTATGCTGATATCAGAGCTGCTGGATTTACAACATGTTAATTCATCAATTTCTTCCGAAATACATGAAACTAAGATTCACTGTGAGAGAAACAGTATGCATCTTACGTCAATAAAGCACACTAAGTTGTTATGTGGTAGTATTTATGTGTATATAAATGTCCGAATATATACATATAATAAATATATAATATTTCGATCCTCAAATAGAGATAATAACATGTATTTCATGTTATAATCATGTTAATAATGATCAATTTATTTGATGTAAGACTGGTGATGAGCGCCATCATGTTAAGTCTACACTGCTGATATCAGAGCTGCTGGATTTACAACATGTTAATTCATCATCATCTTCTAAAATACATGAAACTAAGATTTACTGGGAGAGGAACAGTGCGCATCTTACGTCAATAAAGCACATCGTCCAAATATATTTAATTGCAATTACATCATAAGTGTTGTTTTGCTAGTATTTATGTATATTTGAATGTGGAAAGGGAATTATATTGTGCAATATCTGATATTTCAATTCTCAAATATGCATAATAACATGTATTTTGTGTTTTAAACATGTTAAAAACGATAATTTTAATTGATATAAGACTGGTGATGAGCGCCATCATGTTTAATCTATGCTGCTGATATCAGAGCTGCTGGATTTACAACATGTTAATTAATCATCTTCTTCCGAAATACATAAAACTAAGTATTACTGGGAGAGGAACAGTGTGCATCTTGCATCAATAAAGCACATCGTCAAGTTATATTTAAAAATGATTATCATTGCCGTCTCCATAGACATCAGTGTGCATTTTACAAACCATAAATGTTGTTTTGCTAGTATTTATGTGCATTTGAATGCCTGAAAGTGAATTATATTGTGCAAAATTTGATATTTCAATTCTCAAATATGCATAAGAGCATGTATTTTGTGTTTTGAACATGTTAAAAATGATCATTTTATTTGATGTATGAATGGTGATAGATGCTGCAATGTTTAATCTACGCTGCTGATATCAGAGCTGCTGGATTTACAACATGCTAATTCATCATCTTCTTCAGAAACACATGAAAATACATCCTGCGTCCTGTGTGTCATGTGTGAAAGGGTTAATGTAATCTGGTTGTACATGTTGTCGTCATTTTTTTCTTTCTTCTTTTGTTGTATACTCTTTTCCACCTACTATACGGATGAACGTGATTTTTGGATGCTGCTTCTAGTCAGATTGGAGCCGGATCTGCAAGAGTGTTGCCCTCCAGGAGCAGGCCTGGATGACTCAAAAATTGCACGGTGAATTTAAAGCAGGAGCAGCTTGGAGAATTATGGAGAATTGTTGAGTGATGTTGATCTTTGGTTTTCATTAATCTGTAAAAAGCAAAATGCATTTAGCAAATGGTGACATTAACAGCAGCTTACAATCATATGATAATAACTGAAACAATTTAACCAAAATCATTCTACAGTATAAGCTAATATTCACAAATATTCAATCTTTTTTCTTCAAAATTAGTGAAGATATCAGTACTTACTGTTGTGTGTTCACATGTCAGGCTCTACAAGACAGAAAACAGATCATTAAGATTCATTAAAGATAATTTCATTGATGTCATTTAATTATTCATAATTTCCTTTGTGAAACTGTTGGCTGTCAATCAAGAAATAACTAAATATACAACAAACTTTAGTCATAAAATTCAAAGTAAAATTATATACATATCAGTGTTTCCTCTAGGATTTTTTCCAGCTGTGGAGGCAGGCCTTTTTTACATAGATCTACCAACAATATGATACTTTAAATATTGTCATATTGCACAGCCCCTACTAGAAAGTGTGTGACTGTGAAGGCAAAATAGACAATAGACTCTCATTTGTAAGTCGCTTTGGATAAAAGCGTCTGCTAAATGATTAAATGTAAATGTAGAAAAATATGCTGCAAAAATTGAGAAATACTAAAACAATTCTTAAATAATCCAACATTAGACTTCTGATATCTTTATATATTATATGCAGAAACAAAAATAGGATAGAACTAATCAAGAACTAGGTGTCTTATTTTAAAAAACACAAGTTAAAGAACTAATAATAGTTCTTACCCCATGTGTAGGTCTTAGTCTCTGTGAGGTGACGGACTTGGCAGGTGTACACCTCTCCAGGCCGGGGCTTGAAAGCAGCAAACTTTGTCAGGTGGAAAAACCAACCCTGTTCGAAGGCCAGATCTGTCTGTGTGGTTTTCTCGATCGGCTGTCCATTTTTGAGGAGCTCGATGGTGATGTCAGGAGGGTGAAATCCACTGACATAGCAGATCAGCGTGTTCTCTTTGTCATATTCACCAGGGTTGCGACTGTACACTTGGACTTTTGGGGGAGCTAGAGATAACACACAAAGAAAAGGTCATTATTTTGATATCTGTATAACTAATTCAATCTTGTAGACGTGTTTGTTTTTATGTTCATGTCTTATTTATTTGTATTAATTGGGGTAAATTTGGTTTTGTATTCGCACATTTAAACTTTCTCCTTAGTAATATAATTTTATTTAGGTATTCTAAATAGGAAAAATACACAATCACGATCACAATCAATTAAATAGTGCTAATGTTGTTTTGAAGTTGTGCTTGCATACGATTTCAGACATAAAATTCAAAATGGCGTGGTAAACAATATAGGGAGTGTGTCACAAATTGTCACCGAATGAATGTGCGAATATAATATTATATTATATAATATTTTGCGTTCACAAACCATGGTAAATATTGTGGTAAAAGACATGAATAATGTCTAAATAGAAAGCTAGTTTATTACTAGTATTATTACTGGTGTGTTAATTTAGTGTAATTTTTGTATTATTATTTTTATAAGTTGAAGTAGTTTGTATTATATTTGTTGTCAACGAATGAATGTGCGAATATGTGTTGATTTTGGGTTCACAAACCATGGTAAATAATGTGGTAAAAGACATAATGTCTGAATAGAAAGCTAGTTTATTATTAGTGTCGTTACTGATGTGTTAATTTAGTGTAATTTTATATTATTATTATTTTTATAAGTTGAAGTAGTTGAACTACAGTAAGTTGAGTAGTTTGTATTATATTTGTTGTCACTGAATGACTGTGCGAATATGTGTCGATTTTGGGTTCACCAAACCATGGTAAACCTGTTTTTGATACACATAAATAATGTCTAAGTAGAAAGCTCACAGGTTTTGTTACTGAATGACGCTGGATCAGTTGCACGACTAAAAAATCAACAACTTTACTTCAATGTATTATTATGTTTAGTTGAACCATTATTATAGTAGTCTTTTAAACCCAAAACCCTTTGTTATATAGATTTATTGATGTTCGGTTAATATAGGAAAACCTCATTTTGAAAGATGTGTGTTTTCAGTTTTACAGATTCAGTCTCTTCAGCACATTAAAAAAAGAAAGAAAACACACATCTAGATTTTATTAACCCTATCAGAATGTTTAATTTAAGTTTTGATCTAATAGTTTGTCATTAAGCAGGCCCTAAAGCCTGATTTATACTTCTGCGTCAAACACCGGCGTATGCTACGGCGCTGACGCATAGCCCTTCGCCGTGGCCATCGCCGTCACTGACGTGCACCTCTCAAAAAATGTAACTACACGTCGCAACGACGCGTAGCATAAGCTCTGTGATTGGTCGGCTTGGTAGCGCTGACGAGTCTGGGCGGGACCGAGAGGCGCGCGAATGGCGCGACGCCGCGCGAGCGATTGTTTACAAGTGTGGAGTCCCGTGAAGGAGCTCCGGATGGAAAGTTTTGTTTTGTGTTTACCTCATAGTTAAAGTTGTTGCACGTCCGCCGGTTCCTGCCTCAAAATGAGCGAGTTTGAGCCACTTGTACATCCCGGAAGTGTTCAGGAAATGCAAAAAAGTAGCGAAGAAACTCGACACAGAGGAACATTTACACCTCACTGCCAACTAGCAATTCGGAAGTGTTAATGCAGACCGGCAGAGACAGCGCGCAGAAGTATAAATGCACAGCCACGCGCGTTGCCTGCGCCGTGGGTTACGCCGGTCACCTGACGCAGAAGTATAAATCAGGCTTTAGCCGGGGGTGGGGGGGTGGGGGGCTTGGGGGGGGGGGGGGGGGTTCGGAAGACCCACCCCTCATTGACAAACGTCTAGAATTTGTCCCATTCAAGAGCACATTTGTCCTAATTTGACTGCTACACCATCATAAATAGTGATAATATCCTATTGAAAAAGGCTTTAAGTCCAAGCGGACTCCTGGTGTGAATTCAGTTAATCAGTTTAAACTAATGCAAACAATTATTTTTCAAGAGTTTCAAGAAAACATCTGATATAAGAGAGGTCATCGTTCGCTACTGTATTGTTTTTAAATCGAGAAAACATCTGACAAATAACTTTTATTCTATAAATCTTGGACCTTATTCTTGAAAGAAAACATGACCAATAAAAAAATGTAAAGCACTTTTCAAGAAAGGCTAGAAAAATTGTGAAGCTCTAAATTATTATTATTAGTGGTAATAATAGTATTATTATGTTTTAGTTTTTATTATTCCAATTGTCAAATTCTAACTGAGGAAAGTTATATGTGCTGCCTAATAAATTACACTAGGCTACAGTTTTTAATTAAAACTTATTTCTAATGATATATATGATAGGAGAAAACACTTAACGTGATGTTTTTCACTTTATTTGTGGAATTGGGACTCGTTATTTTTACAGTAGTTAAGGTTAATTACAAAAAAAAACTTTGACAGCAATTTAGATTTCTCTGGTTGATGTTTGGGTACATTTAGCCTATTTTTAAGTTAAGTGTTTTAGAATGTCCCAAAAATAGTGCTTAAAATATCACCTAAATTCAGTATTTAAATTTCATAATTAAATAGAAAATGAGGCGAATACCCACAAAAAGTCTTTTTTTACCAAAAAGAACCATATTTTCCACCAGGCTGGCTATGAGCCAGTTGAATAGATGTTTTTATATTCGGGTATTCAGACTTTCTCCTTAATAATGTAATTTCAGAAAAGTATTGTTTACAAATTCTAAATATGGAAATCATATTAGCAGTAAATGACTATCAAAGTTAAACATTGTTCACAGTGAATTAGACTAATGTTAATGTAGTGTTAATGTAGTTTTTTTGTTTTTGTTTTTTATTAACAAGAACCAGCATGTACAGTTTTCTTATACAATACAACTACTTTACATTTCTTAACAAGAATGAAATAAGTGAGAAAAAAAGAAATTAAAGGAGAAGAGAAGAGAAAGAAAAACAAAAAAACTGAGGAGAGGATACATAAATATCAAATTACATACAAATATATAACGCACATTTTCCAATTTTAGTTATTAACAAGAGTTATTAATGCACTTTTTCTATAGGAAATGCATATATGCTAACATTTTATGTAAAAATGTTAAAGAAGGAGCATATATTAATTGTTTTAATTGCTTTTCTATTTTAAGACTTGGAAATCACTTTCATATACATTCGAATCTCTTTTTTTTAGCACCACGAAGAGAGGTTTGCTTTTTTTAAAACTTGTATTTATGTATGTGAAACTTACATAATAATAAAATAAAGTTTATAATAAAACCAGCATCTATTAAAGAGCGATCCTTAACATAAAACCCAAAATCACATGTGTATAGGATAAGGAAAAGGATTTTAAAATATTATGAGCAATAAAAGCTTCAACATTGATCCAAAAAAGTCGAGTATATTGGCAAGACCAAATGTAGTGTTAATGTTGTTTAGAAGTCATACTTGCATGCTAATTCCGATCGAATATTCAAAGTAACAGGGTCAACAATATAGACACTGCTAAATGGAAAATGGACGAATGTGAATATAAAGCCAACTTTACCTCTATGTCTGTTAAGTATCGCTTCACAGTACAACTCGGCTACCAAACATCATAATGTGTCCTGTAAAACGAGTTCTACAGCGTGTGTGTTTTCCCCCAATAAGTGAAAGCGAAAGTAAAAATGTTAAGGCCGTTTGAGGCAAACAAACATGCCTAAAACATGTTTGATTGGTCCATGATACATTAATTCTAACGACCTTTCGACGTTTTTGGTATCTCCGCAGGTTTTTACCCATTAAAAATACTACATTCGTCGTATTATACACGTTCACTGGAAGTACGTCATAACATATTTACGCAGAAAATAATAACAATTATTTAAATTATCGACGTATTCAAACGCATTATGTCTATTTTGAGTAATAAATCCCTGAATTACAAAATATTTATTATAATAGCTGTGCGATTATAAATTGATTAGTAAACAGACTGACTAACATAGACGCTTCATACTTACTTTCTTTAGCCAGACAGCTGGCGTTTAGAAAGACAAGAGCGACCACGGCGAGCTTAAACCACATGTTTTCACAGTTATGTCCCAAAACTTGTGTTATTTTGTTCCTCAGTCCGACGACTTCAATGGCCTCCTAATTTCTCTCTGACAGAATAACACAATGCAGCAAGACGGAAGAGTAGGACTACATACGGGGCACCTCATGAAACTCCGCCCGCGTTATTTATTTAACCAATCAAATGTGTTCTTCTCTGTTGCTGGGTCAGTTTGGCGCTCTCAAGTTTGTGGTCACTTGCATTGTATGGGCTTATTAATGAGTCTTTATTTGTTTTATACAAACTGCTCTCATAATAATAAAATCACGTTTGTTTTTTTGTTAAACAAAGCAAGTGGATGCAGCTTCACGCAATAATTAATGTACAAAGTTCATTCTATGATGGCCTCCATGACTGTTTTGTCCAAAGTCCTAAGTGTTGCATTAAACCCCGCCCGTCAAGCTTGTTCCAACACTGTATTTTAATTGACAACACAAAGAAAATGCGAAATTATACAATAATATATACAAAACATAAGCCAGAGTGTATACAAAACATTAGTAAAATAATAATCTGAAATTCTTGAAAAAATGTTATTATTATTATATTATTATATTATTATTATTATTATTATTATTATTATTATTATTATTATTATCATTGTTATTAATATTATCATTATTATTATTACTATTATTATTATCATTGTTATTACTATTATCATTATTATTATCATCATTGTTATTATTATTAGTATCATTATTATTATTATTATTATGTTCTAATTTTTATTATTCCAATGGAGAAATTCTGACTAAGTAAAGTTGAATGTGCTGGCCAGTTTATTTGCCTAATAAATGACAATAGGCTGCAGTTTTTAACTAAAAATTTTAATGACTGCTATTTTTTTCTAATGATTTATTGTGTATTAAATTTGTATTTTAAAAAATCCAGCTAATCCAGCTAAAAGTAGTGCTGAAAATGTCACTAAAATGCAGTGTTTAAATCTCATAATTAAATAGAAAACGAGACGAATAACCCAAAGGTTATTTTTTGAGGAAAAAAAATAAATACTTTACCTGGCTGGCAACTGGCCTGTCACAAAGATCAATCTACAGGTTATTTAGTGCAATAACACATATGTTTGCAATGTCTGAGTTTTTCAATTTAGAAGTAAATAAAGTTTCTAGGAACGAAAGTAACCCTGTTATTTATGTCCCACTGCTAATGGACAAATCTCATTTTTTACTTCCACATCCAAATTTTCAGTGTTTTGGTTCAGATGTTTTATAAAAATGAATGCATATTGCAAATAATAATAAAAAAAAAACATTCTACATTTTTAGAAAGTTGTATTGTGGAGTTGCCTTCAAAACATTTGATGGAGTTAATATTTATTATGAAAATGCTGTTTAATTTATTTTTTATTTTTTGCAAAAGTAAAGGACAAAATATGCTTGCATTTAACATTAACAAGGTCTTAGTCAGATATATTTTAAATAAACAGCAATAAGCCAGTGAAAAAGAGCAGCTCAGTGGTTAGCACTGTCACCTCACTGTCGCGCCATAGGTGAATTGAGTAAACTGAATTAGCCATGTGTGAGCAGGAATGACTGTGTATGGGTGTTTCCCAATACAGGGTTGCAGCTGGTAGGACATCTGCTGCGTAAAACATATGCTGGATAAGTTAGCGGTTCCTTCTGCTGTGGCGTCCCTTGATGAAAAAAGAAAAATGAATGAATGAATGAATGAATTCTCTAATAAAAGTATTGTTCATTATTTATTGGCGTTAGTAAATACATTAATGGAAGCTTGTTGAAAAGCATTACCAACATGTTTGATTATAATTATTTTATCCAGTTAAAGAAAAATGTTGCGTGCACGCTTTATTTACATTTTGCTTATGCTACATATTTTCGACATAATATATTCATTGAAACTTTATTACAACCGAGATTGGATGTATAATGAAAATGAAAGTGTATTTTGTGTCATCGATTTATTCAGCTCGTCCAGTCTAAATAATGTGGAGAATATCATTACCTGTAAATGTAGGCTATGCATTAGAATGAGCTCTGCCCACTCTCTCTCTCTCTCTCTCTCTCTCTCTCTCTCTCTCTCTCTCTCTCTCTCTCTCCCTCTCTCTCTCTCTCACACACACACACAGATCTCGGCGCGTGCTGCGAGGAGACATGATTCAAATTCACACTGTGGATTTCTCCAGTACTCCAGAAGCTGACCAGCTGCATCCTTCTACAAGAGAATCGCCACAAAATCCCCATCTTTTATCGCATTATCCAGGTAACTGTCGTCTTCACATAAAAATAAAAACAAAAGTGGCTTAATCTATTTGCTTGTACGTTAATATGAGCAACAATAGACTCTTTAACTTTGCCGTTAATTTCGCATCCATTGAATTGTTCACTTAACGACGTTTAATCGCTGGCTGGCTATCTATGTAAATGTCCTCTCTGTGTCCTGTTATCCAGGGGCTCATGGGGACCCTCAGAGATCTTCAATTCGCACTTCAGCTGAAGATTGAGGAGTTACGGCAGAGAGATGCTCTTATCGACGAGCTGGAGCTGGAGCTGGACGCTAAAGATGATCTGATCCGCCGCCTGCAGGGGGAGCTCGACCGGCTACGGCTCTCCTCCGCTCCTGGAGTCTCCACAGCCACTGCTGGTATGGATCAAGGTGTTTCATTGCTCATTTTTTAGGTCACAAAAAGGTTTTGACTGGTAATATAAACTGAAAAAAATAATTATTAAATTTGCTAAATGGTTTAAGGTACAGTTGAGGCCCTCCTTTTTTATTTTATTTCAGCTAAAATAAAAGCATTTTTTTAAATAACCATTTTAAGGTCAATTTTATTCACCCCCTTAAGCAATGCAATAATTTTTGATTGCAGAACAAACCATTGTTATAAAATAATTTGGCTAATCATACTAACTTGCGGAGTTAGTTACCCTATTTAAGCCTTTAAATGTCACTTTAAGCTGAAATTAGTGTCTTGGAAAATATGCAAAAGGCAGCCTGCAGGTTAATGATGTCGTAACTATCATACGACCCCAAACAGCCGCACCTTAGTGAATATAAGAAATTCGAATAATTAATATTAATGAATATTACACCTGATCAATGAAAATCAGATGATTCACTGCATTAATCAATCTGACATAACTTGATCAGAAATCTAAAAAGGGGAGAAAAAGATTAAGCCAGCAATAGAAAGTACTACTATGGTTAAGAGTCTTGCAGATAGCAGTCCAACCGCACTAACATAATAGTGCCGTTGTGGTCCAGTGATCAGCACGTTGTGTTATAACACTGCCGACCTGTGTTCAAACCTCACCTGAGTAGTTTTTTTTATTTTTATTGTTAAGACATATAATACTTTTAGGGTTGTTGAACATTTGAAGTTCTAAAGCAGCTGTTATCTTGAAAAAGATGTGATAGTGTCATTAGAAACGAAATTGAAAATTGTGTTACTTTAATATAGTTAGTCAATGAGGTGGGTCAGTCAGTGGGGAGTCCCACTCCGGCCCTGGACGACGCTCACAGAGCATTATAAAGTCCTCATCAATATACTGGGGCATTAGGACCCACACAGACCACAGGTTGAGTGCCCCCTGCTGGTCTCACTAACACCACCTCCGGCAGCAACCTAGCTTTCCCATGTGGTCTCCCATCCAGGTACTGACCATTTAAAAAGTTTGCAGCTACTTCTTGAGAATTCAAAAATTTAGTCGAACGAAAATCTTTTATCTCTTGGATAAAAAGTGCCCATCAAAAATGAACTAAAGTGCCCCCTGAACTTCATTTTGCAATTGGCTACTCAACCCCCCCAAAACGTTTTTCAGATCTTTCTGCACATTCACCTTGGAAAGTGTCTGCAAGGTCCTGAATGTAGTCACCGGACTACATGTACCACAATGTTTTGCACCGCACACCTGAATCCTATTAACTGGACTCACACAGCTCCTTAAATCCCTTACTTTCAAAAATGTAGTAAATTCAATGAATCATTTTTATTTCAGTGTAGTGCTGCTCAGCATAAATGAGTAAAACATTTTTTCTCTCTAGAATGTTTTACAATATGTGTGCTTAAAAACTTGATTAGTCAGTACACTGAAAGAAATTCATTTTTTAAACGATGAAGTAAATTACATGTGTATCATTATGTGTTAGGTCTGTGAAAACATTGTTTTGGTATTTGAAGCAAAGAAAACACTTTCCACTTTTTAGTACATCTCTATCATGTAAACATAATTTAATAACACAGAAAAATTCCTATTATTTCAATAACAATTCAACAGTAAATGGGTGACGTGGTGGCTCAGTGGTTAGCAGTTGCCTCACAGCAAGAAGGTCGCTGGTTCCAGTCACAGCTGGGCCAGTTGGCATTTCTGTGTAGAGTTTGCATGTTCTCCCCGTGTTGGTGTGGGTTTCCTCCGGGTGCTCCGGTTTCCCCCACAGTCCAAACACATAGGCTGTAGGGGAATTGGGTAAACAAAATTAGCCATAGTGAGTGTGAATAAGTGTGTATGGATGTTTCCCAGTACTGGGTTGCAGCTGGAAGGGCATCCGCTGTGTAAAACTTATGCTGGAATAGTTGGTGGTTGGCAGGGCTGGAGCAAGCTGAACTGCCGCTCTAGGCAAAGGACGATCACGCCGCCCTCAACCCGAAAGTGAAAACGGTAATGACCGGTTGTCAAAATGAAAGGGGGGTGTATGGGGTGCTGGGTCGCAGATATAACTGAGGGCGCGGGTGTTGAGGGAGGTGTTGCGGACGCCGTCCTGTCTATTCTGCCGCCCTAGGCGCGGATATAATTGAGGCAGTGGGGGGTGAGGGAGGTGTCGCCTAGGTCGCCTCTATGGATGCGCCCAGTGGCATAGCGCAAAACGCGGAGGCCCCCCTGCAGGGATCACAGACGGGGCCCCCAGTTGGGGGGGGGGGGAAGGGATGAGCGGGGCAACGCAGGGAAGCGATCACAAATTGAGGAGCGGGGAAGGGGGGCGGGGTGGAGCAACAACGCGGGGAAGCTTTCGCAAACTGAAGAGCGATCACAAACTGAAAGCGGCGAGAGCATCAAAGTAGCCAGAAGTCATTCCTTTTTAATGAGAACCGGCGGCGAAAAACAGCGTGGCGCATCTTCTC